TTAAATAATCCCTTATGTATGATCCTTCTGTTATTTTTAGAGGGATCTGCTTAAATTCCTGAATTGAGGTATATAGTCGTTTGCTCTCCTGTTCATTTTAGTATGAGCATGCAGACTGTGTCCTTGTTCCTATGGAACTATGATTACACTGTTATTTGACTATGGCATATTTTTGCCTTTTGATCCAGCTAAGGTTTCCGAATTATCATGATATTGCCCTTGGTTACATTATATCTTTCCCCTTTTCTGGTTCTATCATTCATTATCGTCAAGATATGACCCTTTTATTAATTGTATACCTGTTTTAACTGCTGTAGTGTCTGCTGTCTCTCCGGTAATTTTCGGATGGACATACAGACCTTGAGAGCTACGACAAAATGGCGCCTGACTACCGCGCATGCGCCTTTTGTTCTATTTAGCTCCGTCTTGCACGTCACGGCGTACACCGGTTCTTTTCTCTGAGGATGTGCTTGGCACGTAACGCGTAAGGAGGAACCTGCGCACACCTTGACGCCACGCCACCGTCGGAGCATTGGGGAGCTCCGGCGGCCATTACATCTGACAGGACGGTTAGTCCGGTTTTGCTTCACTGCTAGCTTTCATATGCAGCTAGCGGTGTGTTCATTATTTTATCATTTCTGGATGCATCCTGTTTTATTTCAATAAACGTTATTTATTGTACCTTACTCAGGGACACAGAATTGTTACTCAGGGACAGACACAGAATTGTTACTCAGGGACACAGAATTGTTACTCAGGGACACAGAATTGTTACTGAGGGACACAGAATCGTTACTCAGGGACACAGAATTGTTACTCAGGGACACAGAATTGTTACTCAGGGACAGACACAGAATTGTTACTCAGGGACACAGAATTGTTACTCAGGGACACAGAATTGTTACTCAGGGACACAGAATCGTTACTGAGGGACACAGAATCGTTACTCAGGGACACAGAATTGTTACTGAGGGACACAGAATCGTTACTGAGGGACACAGAATCGTTACTCAGGGACACAGAATTGTTACTGAGGGACACAGAATCGTTACTGAGGGACACAGAATTGTTACTGAGGGACACAGAATTGTTACTCAGGGACAGACACAGAATTTGTTACTCAGGGACACAGAATTGTTACTCAGGGACACAGAATCGTTACTGAGGGACACAGAATCGTTACTCAGGGACACAGAATTGTTACTCAGGGACACAGAATTGTTACTCAGGCACACAGAATCGTTACTCAGGGAGACAGAATTGTTACTGATGGGACACAGAATCGTTACTCAGGGACACAGAATCGTTACTCAGGGACACAGAATTGTTACTCAGGGACACAGAATCGTTACTCAGGGACACAGAATTGTTACTCAGGGACACAGAATTGTTACTGAGGGACACAGAATCGTTACTGAGGGACACAGAATCGTTACTCAGGGACACAGAATCGTTACCCAGGGACACAGAATCATTACTCAGGGACACAGAATTGTTACTCAGGGACACAGAATCGTTACTCAGGAACACAGAATCGTTGAATTAAAGAGTATGTCAGACAACACGCAGAGGAGTGGCAGAGGAGGCAATGTTTCAGGAGCGAGCAGACGTGGCAGCAGAGGAAGGGGTCGAGGCAGCACTAGTCGCAGCCAGAGGCCAGTGCTCCCGGTGTCATCCAGCGGTCGTGTCTCCGCCGACAACCCTGCCGTCATCGATTGGTTGACTCGGTCGTCTTCCTCTTCCCAAGTCACCTCTGACACCTACAGCCAACGGTCGGTGGGTACGTCAGACACAACCGTTAGTTGTCATGGCCCGGGAGCAAGCCCACTGAAATCACGTGTCCTCTACCTGCCCCTGTCCTTTGGTGTTCCCTCACCAAGCAAAGTATCGCATGCTGTGGGCTCAGCCCCACTGTACAGTGAGGAAGAGCTAACAGAGGGCGGTCCGGAATGGGGGGGAGACATCCGCCTCTTCAGCAGCCAGGCGAAGAAGTACTGGCGAGGAGAGTGGCTCGGTAGCCGGTCTAGAGACAGGTCTGTCTCCTGACCCACACGCAGCCGAGGGGGCTAGTAGTGACGCGGAGACCCTAATTGATGATGATGAGGCTGATCGCACTTGGCAGCCTCGTCGTCATCAGGCTATTGCTTCCGCATCATCAGGAGAAGAGGGTGCCAGCTTGGCAGCGAGCAAAACAGTCGGTGGGTTGCCCAGGAGGCAGCAGGGTCGCAGCAGTGTCAGTGGAGGCAAACGGCCACGGAGTAGAGCACCAGCTTCACTGCAGCCTACCACCACGGCCAGTAGTGGTGCCGGTGTGCACGGAGGAAGTAGCAGTCAGCCAGTGAGGAGTAGCGGGGGCAAAGTTTCCTACTCGGCGGTGTGGCAATTTTTCGTCAAGCCGCCCGAGGAAGTAAACGTTAGCCGTATGTCGACTATGTGGCCAGAAAGTCAAGCGTGGCCAGGGGGCCCATGTTGGGACTACAGTGTTGCGTCAGCATATGCAGCGTCGCCATTCGGTGGCCTGGGAAAACCGTGATAAAGATACGGCGGTTCTGCCTGCCCCAGCCCCCGCTCCATCACCGCCTCCGTTACTTGCTCTGTCACCCGACGTCAATCGCCCTCTATCAGCCAGTCAAGGCTCCAACACCTCTGCTGAGGGGGAGTTGTCGCTCGTTGGCATCTTCCGCTCGTTCAGATGCTCCTTCTCCTGCTACTCCCTCTTCACGGATTCCGTCAGCAGTCTTTCTTGGAATCCGTTTCCAAGAGACAACAGTTTGCGAGCACGCACCCGACGGTGCAGAAGCTGAACGTCCTCCTGTCCAAGTTGCTGGTGCTGGCAGTCCCTCCCTTTCCAAGTGGTGGACTCAGCACCTTTCCGAGAAATGATGGCTTGTGCCGCGCCGCGGTGGTGAGAGTGCCAAGCCGGCATTTCTTCGCCAAAAAGGCAGTGCCAGCCCTGCATTCACATGTAGAAGAAGATGGTGGGCCAGTCTTTGAGCATGTCGGTCTCTGCCAAAGTGCACGGCAGCGCCGACGTGTGGAGCTGTAACTACGGTCAGGGACAGTACATCCTCATTTACGGCCCACTGGGTGAACGTGGTGCCGGCACAGCCGCACCAGCAAACTTGGACAGGTCCCCGCCGCTTTTGCCTCCACGTTTGCACGTCCTTGGTCCAGCAAAGATGTCCGCCTCTACCACCTCTTCTTCCGCCGTGTCCTCAGCCGCCACCCCGCCCCCCATGCCAAGTCCCATTACCGACCGGCATATCACATGTGCAGGGCGCAACGGTGTCACGCTGTGCTGCACCTGGTATGCCTTGGCGAACGTAGTCACACAGGGGAGGAACTTCTGAGTGTAATGAACAGAGAAATCGACAGATGGCTGTCTCCGCGCAAACTGAAAATCGGAACCATGTTGACCGACAACGGAAAGAACATGGTGTCTGCTCTGCGTCAAGGAAGGTTGTGCCATGCCGCCATGCATGGCTCACGTGTTCAATCTGGTTGTCAAGCGGTTCCTAAAATCCACCATCCCCACCGCAAGGCATCCTTAAAATGTCACGTAAACTTTGCATGCATTTCAGCCATTCCTACACCGCAAAGCACACCCTCCTTGAGCTGCAGCGGCAGAACGGAATTCCACAGCATCGCCTGATCTGCGACGTTGCAACAAGGTGGAATTCAACCCTACATATGTTAGACCGACTTTACGAACAGCGAAAGGCCATCACCGATTTCCTGATGTTACAAGCGGATAAAGGTACTCCCCTGTGTAACTTAGATGTCAGCCATTGGCAGCTCATGCGTGACACCTGCCGCTTGCTCAGGCCTTTGAGGAGGCCACGCTATTCGTGAGTCGGCAGACTATGGGATGAACGACGTCATTCCTCTGTGCACGTCCTGGAACAAATGCTGTTAACAATGGCTGTCAGGGTGCGGTAGACGTGGCGCACAGATCTCAACGCCACATGACCCTGTGGGGGCAGGACAGGAAGAAGAGGAGGAGGTAGAGGAGGACATTGGTGCTCAGGAATTATTGAGTGAAATGGGTGGTTTTTTTCCACTCAGCGGACAGGAGTGGAGGAGCAGGAGCATCTGGTAGAGGAGGAGGAGGAGGAGACAGAGGACCCAGACGCACCGTGGCAGTATGCTGTGGAGATGGAGGCAGGGAGTCCCTCGCATTCCTTGGCACAAATGGCCCATAGCATGCTCGGTTGTTTGCGTAGCGACAGCCGAATAATAACCATCAGACAGAGGGATGACTTTTGGCTGTCCACCTTGTTGGACCCTCGCTACTCCGTTCAAAAATGGTGGCCTTTTTCACACCTGCTGAGAGGGAGGCCAAAATAACGTACTCTAAAAAACCACCTATTGTAGTCAGTTGGTCTCTGCCTTTCTGCGCCAACGTCCATCCTCAGACACTGTGGGCCCTGTGCGCTCGCGTTCCGCTGCCATGGCAGCAGGGAGGGGTGGGGTGGGGTGGTAGAAGCAGTGGCAGCTCCACCAGCAGCGGCTGCCTCAGTCTGCAGTCGATGATGAGTAGCTTTCTTCACCAGCGCAGTGAGGAAACTACTAACTAGCCGCAGCAGCATCAGGTGGACCTGGAGCAGGACCTCAAACAACAGGCTTGGGCCTACTTGGACAGCACCCTGCCAACCGAGGTAGACAATCCCCTTGACTACTGGGCAACGAAACTTGACCTTTGGCCCCAACTAGCTGATTTTGCCCTTGAAAGGCTGTCATGCCCCGGCCAGTAGCGTGGCATCGGAGCGCGTGTTTAGTGCGGCAGGAGGTATTGTAACTCCGCGGAGGACACGACTGTCCCACCCAAAGTGTGGAGAGACTCACGTTTGTGAAAATGAATCAGGCGTGGATTAGTCTGGATTTCAAACACCAGTTCCTGACACAACTGACTAAATCCGCCATGAATCATGCCCCAAACATGTTATTATTTTTAACATAGGCCTCTGTATGGCCTTCAATTTAAGCTGCTTACGCTTCGCCACTGTACCGCCGCCTCCTCTTGCTGCTGCCAGGTCCAGAGTGTGTCATGGGTCCCTGTACGGCCCTCCCGTTGCTGCTGTCTCCATCGCCACACTCTGCCATGTGCCACTTTCAGGTCTCCTCACACTGCTGGTGGGTTCCAATTTTGTCATAGGGTGCTGGCAGATTACGGGCCTCCCATTGCTGCTGCCAGGCCCGTAATCTGCCATGGGCCCCCGTACCGACTCCTCATGCTGATGCCAGGCCCGTTAATCTGTCATGGGCCCCTGTACCCGCCTCCTCATGCTGCTGCCCAGGGTCCAGGAGTGTGTCATGGGTCCCTGTACGGCCTCCCATTGCTGCTGTACCCTCTCCATCGCCACACCCACACCTGCCATGTGCCACTTTCAGGTCTCCTCACACTGCTGGTGGGTTCCATTTTTTCATAGGGTGCTGTATCGGCCTCCCATTGCTGCTGCCTCCACACTGTGGCTCTGTTACACTCTGGTTTTTGGCCCCGTGACTGCCCAAATGAGTGAAGTGTGCGGTTGATTCTAAGATCGACGGCACTCATCTGCATGTCATCATACTGACTGACAGTATTATTTCTCTTCCCCAGCAGACTCCAAGGGCATTTAAATTAAAGGTACAGTGTTCTGCACTAATATAAAGGCTCTCTGAAGCCTAGAAACACCCTTTTTTATAAGTTAAATTCGCAGCGGTATATTCGACTTGAATCGAATTTATTCCGCAAATTCGCCGAATCAGCCGAATCGAATTTTTGAATAAACCGCTCATCTCTAACTTACACCAATGATGGCACTATTCCTTTCACTACCAATGATGGGGCACTATTCCTCCCACTGTCACCAATAATGGGGCACTATTTCCTTCCACTGACAACAATGATGGGGCACTATTCCTCCCACTGACACCAATAATGGGGCACTATTCCTCCCACTGACACCAATGATGGGGCACTATTCCCCCCACTGACACCAATGATAGGGCACTATTCCTCCCACTGATACCAATGATGGGGCACTATTCCTCCCACAGACACCAATGATGGGGCACTATTCCTCCCACTGACACCAATGATGGGGCACTATTCCTCACACTGATACCAATGATGGGACACTATTCCTCCCATTGACACCAATTATGGGACACTATTCCTCCCACTGATACCAATGATAGAGAGCACTATTCCTCCCACTAACACCAATGATGGGGCACTATTCCTCCCACTAATACCAATGATGGTGCACTATTCCTCCCACTATACCAATGATGGGGCACTATTTCCGCCACTGACACCAATGATGGGACACTATTCCTCCCACTGATACCAATGATGGGGCACTATTCCTTTCACTACCAGCAATGGGGCACTATTTCCTCCCACTGATACCAATGATGGGGCACTATTCCTCCCACTGACACCACTGATAGAGCATTATTCCTCCCACTGACACCAATGATGGACACTATTTTTTACCACAGACACCAATGATGGGTACTATTCCTCCCACTGACACCAATGATTGGGCACTATTCCTTCCACTACCAATGATTGGGCACTATTCCTTACACTTCCAATGATGGAGCCCTGCTTCTCCCATTGATACCAAAGATGAGGCATTATTCCTCCCACTGACACCAATGATGGGTTGCTATTCCTCCCACTGACCCAATGATGGGTTGCTATTCCTCCCACTGATACCAATAATGGGACACTATTCCTCCCACTGCCACCAATGAAAGGACACTCTTCTTCCCACAGACACCAATGATGAGGCTCTATTCCTCCCACTACCAATGATGGTGCCCTGTTTCTCCCATTGATACCAAAGATGAGGCACTATTCCTCCCACTGACACCAATTGTGGGTCCTGTTCCTCCCACTGACCCAACAATGGGGTGCTATTCCTCCCACTGATACCAACAATGGGGCACAATTCCTGCAACTGACACCAATGAAAGGACAAGACATTATTCCTGCAACTGACACCAATGATGGGGCACTTCCTTTCACTACCAATGATGGGGCACTATTCCTCCCACTGATACCAATGATGGGGCACTATTCCCCCCACTAATACCAATGATGGGGCACTATTCCTCCCACTGATACCAATGATGGGGCACTATTCCCCCCACTAATACCAATGATGGGGCACTATTCCTCCCACTGATACCAATGATGGGGCACTATTCCCCCCACTAATACCAATGATGGGGCACTATTCCTCCCACTGATACTAATGATGGGGGCACTATTCCTCCACTAATACCAATGATGGGGCACTATTCCCCCCACTGATACCAATGATTGGCACTATTCCTCCCACTGACACCAATGATGGGACACTATTCCTCCCACTGATACCAATGATGGGGCACTGTTCCTCCCACTGATACCAATGATGGGGCACAATTCCCCCACTGATACCAATGATGGGGCACTATTCCCCCACTAATACCAATGATGGGGCACTATTCCTCCCACTGATACCAATAATGGGGCACTATTCCCCCCACTAATACCAATGATGGGGCACTATTCCTCCCACTGATACCAATGATGGGGCACTATTCCTCCCACTGATACCAATGATGGGGCACTATTCCATCCACTGATAGCAATGATGGGGCACTATTCCTCCCACTGAGACCAATGATGGGGCACTATTCCTCCCACTGATAGCAATGATCGGGCACTATTCCTCCCACTCATACCAATGATGGGGCACTGCTCCTCCCACTGACACCAATGATGGGGCACTATTCCTGCCACTGATACCAATGATGGGGCACTATTCCTTCCACTGACACCAATGATGGGGCACTATTCCTTCCACTGACACCAATGATGGGGCACCATTCCTCCCACTGACACCAATGATGGGGCACTATTCCTCCCACTGACACCAATGATGGGGCACCATTCCTCCCATTGACACCAATGATGGGGCACTATTCCTCCCCACTCATACCAATGATGGGGCACTATTCCTTCCACTGACACCAATGATGGGGCACCATTCCTCCCACTGACACCAATGATGGGGCACTATTCCTCCCACTGACACCAATGATGGGGCACCATTCCTCCCATTGACACCAATGATGGGGCACTATTCCTCCCACTCATACCAATGTCTGGCCCTCCAAAAGTCTGAAGGACTGTAAACTGGCCCTTTGTCTATAACATTTGGAGACCCCTGCTGTAGAGTACCGTTTTGACATTTAACCCCTATAGTCCTTAATGTTGGATACCCAGAAGTTTCATATCGTATCGCACTGTATTGCATTGTGTTGTGTTGTATCGTATTGTATTGTATCATATCGTAATGTATTGTATCGTATCGTAATGTATTGTATCGTATTGTATTGTATCGTATTGTATTGTATCGTATTGTATGGTATCGTATTGTATTGTATCATATCGTAATGTAATGTATTGTATCGTAATGTAATGTATTATCGTAATGTATTGTATCGTATTGTATTGTATTATCGTATTGTATCATATCGTAATGTAATGTATTGTATCGTAATTGTATTGTATCGTATTGTATTGTATCGTATTGTACTTGTTTGTATTGTCAGACATTGCTGTCTTACTTGTTTTTTTTTTTCTATGGCCTGTTGACTTTTCGATGGCACACAAGCATTGTATTGTTTGATATTCTGTTACTTTTTTTGTGCGTCTCTAAATGAAAAAAAAAAAGTCAACCTGTCATAAAATTAACAAAAGAAGTTTCCCCTTCTGGGTGTGTAGGAATCTGGGTCTGTAGGGATCTGGGTCTGTAGGAATCTGGGCGTGTAGGAATCTGGGCGTGTAGGAATCTGGGCGTGTAGGGATCTGGGTCTGTAGGGATCTGGGTGTGTAGGAATCTGGGTGTGTAGGGATCTGGGTGTGTAGGGATCTGTGGTGTGTAGGGATCTGGGTGTGTAGGATCTGGGTCTGTAGGAATCTGGCGTGTAGGGATCTGGTAGGAATCTGGGCGTGTAGGGATCTGGGCCTGTAGGGATCTGGGCGTGTAGGGATCTGGGCGTGTAGGGAACTGGGCGTGTAGAGATCTGGATCTGTAGGAATCTGGGTGTGTAGGAATCTGGGTGTGTAGTGATCTGGCGTGTAGGGATCTGGGCGTGTAGGGATCTGGATCTGTAGGGATCTGGGTGTGTAGGAATCTGGGTGTGTAGGAATCTGGGCGTGTAGGGATCTGGGCGTGTAGGGATCTGGGCGTGTAGAGATCTGGATCTGTAGGGATCTGGGTGTGTAGGAATCTGGGTGTGTAGGGATCTGGGCGTGTAGGAATCTGGGCATGTAGGGATCTGGGTCTGTAGGGATCTGGGTCTGTAGGAATCTGGGCGTGTAGGGATCTGGGTGTGTAGGGATCTGGTGTGTGTAGGAATCTGGGTGTGTAGGAATCTGGGTGTGTAGGGATCTGGGTGTGTAGGAATCTGGGAGTGTAGGAATCTTGGGCCCCTCAGCACTCTGGGTCCCCTTTATGGCCTCTATGTGACAGAAGGACATAGAACTGACATAGAAGTTGATAGAAGGAACCTATAAAATCACTATCAACGTTTTATATCACAAGGATTTCTTTCTCAGTCAAAACGTTTCTATTTGTGATTTCAGAGACACTTCCACAACCATTTATATCAGAATACAGAAATTTGGAAGACAAGGAGACGGTGAACATTACCTGCACAGTATATCACTCCTGTCCCTCCCATCCCCCGACTCTCACATGGAACATCAACGGCCATCCTACAATGAAAAGTCATAAATATGTGAATACTCCAGAACAGTGGAGGATGGAGTCCATAATGACTTATACTGCTTCCTATACAGATGACAACACACTTCTACAATGTGCAGCTGCTTTTCCAAATAATCAAACATCTGTTAAAAAAGTTACATTAAAAATAAAATGTAAGTAAATCTAAATTTCTATATGTACATTTTTTCACCAGCTTGCACATTATACAATTCATACAGAGCCCGCCTCTTTTCCTGGCTGGAGGACACCCATCATCATTTCGCTCTTTCCTCCCCAGACTGACTGTTCTTGGCCTGTCCCTTTCATTTGTTGAATTTCAGTTCTTTAAATTATGGAGGATCGGCATTCCCATGCGGGCTTTACCTACAGGGCAGCCTTTCTGTAAATATAGCCTTCATAGGAGCGCCCGCTCCTCCAGTCTGACGTCCACCCACCGAGGAATTTTGATATTTGCATAACTCCTCCCAGGGTCCAACCCACTGCCTGCATCAGGGCTGAGGGCTCTGCAGAGGAGTGCTGAAGAAAGGTGCTGTGCAAAGAAGAACAGAGACCCAGTGATGACTTCACTGCGTCTAAAACAAGCTATGTAATGAAAATGGAAATATGTATTAACCACTTCAAGTACGGACGGTTTTAACCCCTTCCTGCCCAGGCCAGCTTTCCGCGCTATCACACTTTGAATGACAATTGCGCCGTCATGCAACACTGTACCCATATGAATTTTTTAGCATTTTTTTGAGACAGAGAAAACTTTATTTTGGTGGCACTTATTCACCACTGGGATTTTTATTTTTTTGCTATATAAATGAAAATTTTTTACAATTTTGAAAAAAAAAGTTTTTCTTATAAAATTTTGCAAATAAATAATCTTTCTTCATAAATCTTGGCCAAAATTTATTTGGCTATCTTTTTAGTAGAGAAAAAAATAACCCAAATTAGTTTATAACCAAAAATTATAATTTTTTTTAAAATTTTGTTTTACATTTTTTTTAATATTATTATTTATATTTTTGTTTTTTTTTAACATACCGTCACCCTAGCAGTACAATGTCCACCATAGTGACAGGTCAGCATTCTTTCCCATGATTGTGATTCCTACTGAGAGACCATTTAAGGGCTCAGGAACCCTTTGCAGGTGTTACAGCTTAATGATCTGATTAGAGTGGGACACTTTGAGCCGAGAATATTCCACCTTTTCCCAATATTCTCATTTTCTGAGATTGTGGATTTGGGGTTTTCATGAGCTGTAAGCCATAATCATCACAATGATGACAAATCACGGCTTGAACTATCTTGCTTTGCATGTAATGAGTCTATCTCATATATTAGTTTCACCTTTTAAGTTGCATTACTGAAATAAATGAACTTTTACACGATATTCAAATTTTTCGAGTTTCACCTGTAGTAAAGCAGCACACAGTTAACCCTTTGATCGCCTCACATGTTAACCCCTTCCTGCCCAGTGCCAATAGTACAGTGTCAGTGTTTTTTTATTAGCACTGATCACTGTATTGGTGTCACTGGGGATATCAGTGACAACAAATCAGCCCCTCCCCCCCCCAAGGAATGCCCGCCGCAGTCCCGCCGTAAGTCGCCGATCACCGCCATACTTACTAGTTAAAAAAAATAAAAATTCCAGTTTCCATACCGCCATTTTTATCTCATAATTGTCGGTCATTTTTTTTTTAATAGCGCAAAAAAAAAAATTCCAGTTTCTATACCGCCATTTTTAAACGCTATAACTTTCACATAAACCAATTAATTTACACGTATTGGGATTTTTTTTTTAGCAAAGACATGGAGCAGAATACATTTTGGCCTAAATTTATGACAAAATTAGATTTTTTTTAATTTTTTTTACAGACATGTTTAATAGCAAAAAAGTCAAAAATAATGTTTTTATCTCAAATTGTTGGTCGTTTTTTTTTTTTTTATAGCGCAAAAAAAAAAAAAATGCAAAGGCAACTGAATACCAGCCAAAGAAAGCTATAACTTCACATAAACCAATTAATTTACGTAGCAAAGACATGGAGAAAAAATTTTGGCCATAAATTTCATTTTTTTTAAATTTTTTTTACAGACATGTTTAATAGCAAAAAAGTCAAAAATATTGTTTTTATCTCAAATTGTCGGTCGTTTTTTTTTTTTATAGCGCAAAAAAAAAAAAAAATGCAAAGGCAACTGAATACCAGCCAAAGAAAGCTCAATTCGTGGGGAAAAAAAGGACATACATTTCATTTGGGTGCAGCGTCGCATGACCGCAAAAAAAAAATGGCCTAGTCAGGAAGGGGGGTAAATCCTCTGGAGGGCAAGGGGTTAATATGTTGATTGGGGGGGGGAGACGACCATAGAAGGCAAAATATAAGCAGATTAAACTTCAGCTTGAATGTTTTTCCATTATTTATTTGCCACCAACCTTTTGTACTGGAGTGTTGGCAGGGGCGGACTGACAACTCATGGGGCCCCCCGGGCAATAGGGGATCATGGGGCCCCTGTGTCCTTGCCCAAACTCATAAAAGCCTATGAAAAAGGTACCAGGGGCATCTCATGGAGCCCCCTACTGACCCTGGGCCCTTGGGCAGTGCCCGGGTTTCCAAATGGCCAGTCTGCCCCTGGTTGTTGGCACCCTGGACATGAAAATATACTCAAAATGGAAAAAAAAAAGAAGTTTATGTGTATTCTAAGCATTTTCTTTCGGCTATATATTTTTTATACAATTTTATTTATATGATACGTTATAAACCACGCCATATATTATCTGTTACTGCATAGATCATCCCAAGAATGTCACCATTTCAGTTGATGGAAAAAAGAACACACAAGAGGCTGATGATGTCACGTTACTTTGTTCAAGCCAAGCCAATCCTCCGGTAAATAATTACACCTGGTACCGGATTGTCCAGGGAAGAAAATTATTCCAGGGACACGGGGATGAAATATCTGTGAAGAATACAACAACAGCAGAATATAACTGTGCTGCAACGAATGAAATGGGAACCGGAGAGTCTTCTAGGTTCAAAGTTACTAAGCAATGTGAGTCATACAATACTATTTATATTTATATTTATCTTTATTTCACTTCCATATTTTTCTATTAGTTTAAGTAGAGCTCCAGTCATACAGAAAAGTATAAAAAAAGTATAGCCTATTAAAGGGTTACTAAAGCCCAGACCCTGCATTCACTATATCCGGTCTCCCCAGACCCTGCATTCACTATATCCGGTCTCCTCAGACCCTGCATTCACTATATCTGGTCTCCCCAGACCCTGCATTCACTCTATCAGGTCTCCCCGGGACCCTGCATTCACTATATCCGCTCTCCCCGGACCCTGCATTCACTATATCCGGTCTCCCCAGACCCTGCATTCACTATATCCGCTCTCCCCAGACCCTGCATTCACTATATTCTGGTCTCCCCGGACCCTGCATTCACTCTATCAGATCTCCCGGGACCCTGCATTCACTATATCCGATCTCCCCGGACCCCGCATTCACTATATCCGTCTCTCCCAGACCCTGCATTCTTTATATCCGGTCTCCCCGGAAACTGCATTCACTATATCCGCTCTCCCTGGACCCTGCATTCACTATATCCGCTCTTCCCGGACCCTGCATTCACTATATATCCGCTCTCCTCGAACCCTGCATTCACTATATCCGCTCTCCCTGGACCCTGCATTCTTTATATCCGGTCTCCCCGGAAACTGCATTCACTATATCCGGTCTCCCCGGACCCTGCATTCACTATATCTGGTCTCCCCGGACCCTGCATTCACTATATCTGGTCTCCCCGAACCCCGTATTCACTATATTTGGTCTCCCGATCCCTGCATTCACTATATCTGGTCTCCCCGGACCCTGCATTCTTTATATCTGGTCTCCCCGGACCTGCATTCACTATATATCTGGTCTCCCCGGACCCTGCATTCATTATATCTGGTCTCCCCGGACCCTGCATTCACTATATCTGGTCTCCCCGAACCCCGCATTCACTATATCTGGTCCCTGGACCCTGCATTCACTATATCTGGTCTCCCCGGACCCTGCATTCATTATATCTGGTCTCCCCGGGACCTGCATTCACTATATTTGGTCTCCCTGGACCCCGCATTCACTATATCCGCGACCCTGCATTCACTATATCTGGTCTCCCAGAGGACCTGCATTCACTATGGAAATCCCCGGGACCATTTGCATTCACTATATCTGGTCTCCCCTGGACCCCTCATTTACCTCATTCACTATATCCGTCTCCCCGGACCCCGCATTCACTATATCCGCTCTCCCTGGACCCTGCATTCACTATATCTGGTCTCCCTGGACCCCGCATTCACTATATCCGCTCTCTCCCTGGACCCTGCATTCACTATATCTGGTCTCCCTGGACCCTACATTCACTATATCCGCTCTCCCCTGACCCTGCATTCACTATATCCGCTCTCCCCTGACCCTGCATTCACTATATCTAGTCTCCCAGAGTACACAGAACATGGGAAATGAAATTAATTTAGTAAATATAAACTGCTAAATACCTTTTCTCATCAGCAGTTAGAGCTGTCTTGTGACTTCTATCAGTACCCAGCAGAGCATTGGTTAAAGCTTGAAGGAGGAGTTTTCTTTCTCTTCTCAAAGTAAAAAGAAAGAAAAGAAAACCCTTAAAAGATTGAATTAAAAAAAAAACAGGTTTTGCTGCAATACTCACATTCAAAACACAACTGTCCTCAGCTTTTCCATATTGATTGACAGCCAGCATCATTCAACCTTATTCATCTGAGCTCAGGCTGCCATGGGCCCACCCCTAGTTTGTGATAGGACAGTGAAGAAGAAGCAGCATGGTAATGAGTTCATCTATCTGTCACTCTTCTCTCTCCTCCTATCAGTGGGCTCCCTGTAAGTACATGAACTGCATGACAACAAGAATTTGATATCAGGTCCAATTCAGGTGCTTACACTCGATTAAAAATTAATTTAATGATGTATTATTAAACACAAAATGCATTAATTTCTGTCTTTTATACCTGCCTGGAGTTCAGCTTTAAGGTGGGTGGACTTGTACGCCGTGTCAGCACTTTAGTCATAAATATAGCAGCGCCAAGAAACAATTTCATTTCAAAGAAATTGTTTCTTTGTATATGAATAATATGATCATTTATTGATGTTAAGTTGCAATATTGAAAATGATGAATAAAATATTTAAATAAACAAATTAAAAAAAATAAATATATAAATATATAAAATGTATAAATAAATAAAATATATAAATCTATAAAATGTATAAATAAATAAAATATATAAATCTATTAAATGTATAATAAATAAAATATATAAATCTATAAAATGTATAAATAAATAAAATATATAAATCTATAAAATGTATAAATAAATAAAATATATAAATTTATAAAATGTATAAATAAATAAAATATATAAATCTATAAAATGTATAAATAAATAAAATATATAAATCTTATAAAATGTATAAATAAATAAAATATTTAAATCTATAAAATGTATAAATAAATAAAATATTAAATCTATAAAATGTATAAATAAATAAAATATATAAATATCTATAAAATGTATAAATAAATAAAATATATAAATATATAAAATGTATAAATAAATAAAAAAAATATATAAATATATAAAATGTAGAAATAAATAAAATATATAAATATATAAAACTGTAGAAATAAATAAAAAATATATAAATATATAAAATGTAGAAATAAATAAAAAATATATAAATATATAAAATGTAGAAATAAATAAAAAATATATAAATATATAAAATGTAGAAATAAATAAAATATATAAATATATAAAATGTATGAATAAATAAATTAAAATAAACAAACAAATAAATAAATATAGCAGTGCCTTGTGTCTTATGTTCACTGACATAATCAGAAAATTCTGGACACGTAAGATATTCTTGCCCTATTGCTGCCAATCTAAAAAAAAAATAACTGAAATACTGAATGCAAGATGGATTATCTAAATCATAATGGCGCTTTTTTTCCCAGCACATTGTTTGTTAATATAGAGACCTTCGCCATTGGGTTTGACTAAGTAGATACAAAGTCGGTGACTCAAGCCTGGAGGAAACGTACAGAAAACCACCAAGTTATCAGGAATGAAGAGCTGCTTCCGGCGTGGCTTGTATTTATATGTTTGTTATTGTTAGTGCCTGCATCATCCATGGAGACTCTAAAAGATCGATGTAATTATCAAGGGGGGGCGATCACTTAATAAATGAAAATATCATACGAAGACATAGAAGGTTTAGATCCAAGGCTAATGAACTGATATAAATAATGCAAGAAGAAGAAGAAGTGTACAGACCAGATGGGAATGGTTGATAGCGGAAAAGGGGAACTAGCAATAACTACTTTACAAGACACCTGAGATACCAGGCATGGTCGGCGTGGACGTGCTTAAGTGCTTCCTCGTTGCCTACGTCCTCTTTCCTCTGATTTTATGAACAAATGTATTTTCGCTTTCACTGTATCCTTTACAGTAATCCACTAGACCAGGGACGGACTGACAACTCATGGGGCCCCCGGGCAATAGGGGATCATGGGGCCCCTGTGTCCTTGCCCAAACTCAAAAAAGCCTATGAAAAAGGTACCAGGGGCATTTCATGGGGCCCCCTACTGACCTGGGTCCAAATGGTCAGTCCGCCCCTGCACTAGCCACACTAAAGAAAGTACAAATTTCATAACAAGCAACAAAAGCACTTTAAAATAAGACCTATTCACCTCTGAGGCTATAGGCATTGTGGAGAAATTTGGTTTCAAAGTTCATAACTAAGACACTGAAATCTTGGCTCCTTTCCTATTACTTTCAATTGTAGTAGAATCTTGGCAGTCTGCCAGTCCTCTGTGTAAATATACAGCAGGTGTTTGTAAACCAGCCACCCAGCTGCTGTGACAAGATCCACTCAACGAAGAGTACATTCTTACTCCATGCCGTCATTTTGTCCCACATGGTAAAAAAAAAATATCTTTTAAATATATCTTAAAAAATATTCTTCCCAAATATATTGACAGATATCTGAAATACTACAATTTTTTTGGCCGTATTCAATATATTTCAAAATATATTTAAATATATATATGTATATGTATATGTATATGTATATATATATATATATATATATACTGCATGTTGAAATGTGTTTTTTTTTATATATTACAAAATATATGAAAAAATATTTTTAAAAATATATTTTTCTTACATATATTCTTCAGATTTTTTTTTTTTAACATATAATAAAGTAATTTTAACATATATTTTTTACATATATTTGTAAACGCATTCAAAAAAAGTTGATTAAATGTATTTTTTAAAGATACACAGTATCTCTCTCTCTCCCCCCCCCCTCTCTTTCTCTCTCCTTCCTCTCCCCCCTCACTCCTCTCCCCCCTCACTCCTCTCCCTCTCTCTATATATATACTGCATGTTGAAATGTGTTTTTTATATATTACAAAATATATGAAAAATATTTTTAAAAAATATATTTTTTCTTAAATATATTCTTCAGATTTTTTTTAACGTATAATAAAGTAAAATAATAAAGTAATTTTAACATATATTTTTACATATATTTGTAAACACATTCCAAAAATGTGGATTAGATGTATTTTTAAAGATACACAGTATCTCTCTCTCTCTCTCTCTCTCTCTCTCTCTCACTCTCTCTCTATATCTCTCCCTCTCTCTTTCTCTCTCTCTCCCTCTCCCCCCTCACTCTCTCTCTCTCTCTATATATATACTGCATGTTGAAATAATGTGTTTTTTATATATTACAAAATATATGAAAAATATTTGCAAAAATATATATAATTTTTGTTAAATATATTCTTCAGATTTTTTTTAACATATAATAAAGTTATTTTAACATATATTTTTACATATATTTAATAATATATTTAATATATTTAAACACATTTCAAAAATGTGGATTAGATGTATTTTTAAAGATAAACAGTATACATCTCTCCCTCTCTTTCTCTCTCTCGCTCTCTTTCTCTCCATATATATATAATGTTGAAATGCGTTTTCTATACATTACAAAATACATGAAAAATATTTTATAAAAACATTTTCAAACATACTGTATGTCTTTAAAATTATATTTAAGCTACATTTTTGGAATGCATTTACAAATATATGTAAAAATTACTTTTTTATTTATAGGTTAAAAAAAAATCTGAAGCATATATTTAAAAAAAAATATATTTTAAAAAATATTTTTCATATATTTTGTAATATATAAAAAACACATTTCAACATACAGTATAGAATACGACCAAAATTGTAGTATTTCAAATATATGTAAATATATTTGAGAAGAATATTTTTTAAATATATTTAAAATATATTTTTCTTCCATGTGGGGCAGTCTCAGTAATAATATTCTATAAATAAAGTCCAGCAGAAAGATTGAGACCCCTTCAGAATGATTACATCTGGGTGCAAATGGGAACTCAGATACTTGCATTTTATTTGTGGAGCCTGTAAGAGTTACAAATACTGGATGAGCGATTCAGCATTCCTGCATCTTCACAAAATTGTGCCTCTTTTCTCAGCAGTAATCTTATAACTCAGGGGTCTCCAAATTTTCTAAACAAAGGGCCAGTTTACTGTCCTCTAGACTTCAAGGGGGCCGGATTGTGGCCAGCGGATTGTGGCCAGTGGGAGGAATAGCACCCCTTCTTCGGTGTCACTGGGAGGAATAGCACCCCTTTGTTGGTGTCAGTGGAAGGAATAGCAACCCATCGTCGGTGTCAGTGGGAGGAATAGTGCCCCATCATCGGTGTTACTGGGAGGAATAGCACCCCTTCGTTGGTGTCAGTGGGAGAAATATCACCTCATCGTCGGTGTCAGTGGAAGGAATAGCACCCCATCATCGGTATCAGTCGGAGGAGTAGCACCCCTTCTTCTGTGTCAGTGGGAGGAATAGCACCCCATCATCAGTGTCAGTGAGTGGAATAGCACCCTTCGTCGGTGTCAGTGAAAGGAATAGTACCCCATTGTTGGTGTCAGTAAAAGGAATAGCACCCCATCGTTGGTGTCAGTGAAAGGAATAGCACCCCATCGTTGGTGTCAGTGAAAGGAATAGCACCCCATCATTGGTGTCAGTGAGAGGAATAGCACCCCATCGTCGGTGTCAGTGGGAGGAATAGCACCCCATCATTGGTGTCACTGGGAGGAATAGCATCCCTTTGTCAGTGTCAGGAATAGCACCCCATCGTTGGTGTCATTGTAAGAATTGTGCCCCATCATAGGTGAAGAATAGTGTGGAATTGGTATCAGTGGGTAAAATAGTGCCCCAAGAGCTGGATAAAAGCAAACCAAGGGCCACATCTGGCTCCCAGGCCGCAGTTTGGAGACCACTGTTATAACCCAATGTCTTTCTATATGCAATAATTCCTTCACAACTTATCCTTATCACACATTTTTA